GGGGTTCAAGGCCTGGGCAATCTGTGGGCAACATGACAGGGCCATTTCTTTGTATGGGCTTGAACTGAGGATCTGGGAGCTGTTTCTCTGAGTTTTATTGCTCAAGGCTGGTGTTCTACCACTTGAGCCACAGCTCCACTTCTGGCTTTTTGGTGTTTCCATGGAGAGAAGAGTCTCTCTGACTTTGCAGCTTATGGCCGGCTTTGATCTTTGATCCTCAAATCTCTGTCTCCCAAGTCGCCAGGATGTCAGGCTTGACCATGAGCCAGAGGTGACAGGCACCAAAGGCTTTTTGGTTTTTGTTTGCTTCCATTTATCTCCTGTGAACTAGCAAGCCCAAGTTAAAATAATCAGTTACAGGGGATCAAATTCCTCTCCTAGGTCAGTTAATCCAAGGAGATAAAGTGTCTTTGGAAAAGGCTAGTCTGAGTTGGCTTAGGGGTGTTTGTGTGTTTGTGTGTGTGTATGTGTGTGAGTGTTGGGGATACCTACCCTCATCTCTGTGATGCCTCCTCCTCCCAGCAGGGAGTGCATCCAGGATCCTGACCCCAAGGTAGGTGGATGAGGGAGGGTACCTAAAGTCACATCCAGGGGGATGATCCGAATTCTGTCCTGCAACAGATAAAGCCTGGACATATAAAGGAGAAAAGGAGAGGATTAGAGGAACATGAAAGGGAGCCCCTTATCTTTGGCTACATGTACCAGTGAGAAAACTGAAAACATCTTTCTTGGTAGTAAGATAAAAGACGTACACTATTCATTTATTTTATGATTGTGTTAGTCCTAGGGCTTGGATTCAGGGCCTGGGTGTTATCCCTTAGCTTTTTTTGTTCAAGGCTGAGGCTCTACCAGTTGAGCCACAGCACCACATCTGGGTTTTTTGTGTGTGGGTTTGGGGAGGAAGGTGGTTTATGGGAGATAAGAATCTCCTGGACTTTCCTGCCTGGGCTGCTCTGAGTCACAACCATCAGACCTCAGCCTCCCAAAGAGCCAGGATGATGGGTGGGAGCCATGAGCTCCTGACCTCCACCATCCATTTCTAATCCCTTAGGCCCAGGGCCTGGCCACCCATACTATACCTCCTTGTTGGGAGTAGGAAGCAGACATGAGTGGGTTTGATACTTCAACAGCCTACGTATCTTTGAGCATTGTTCTGGGTCAGTCTGATGGAGGCTTTGTCCTGATCCACAGCAATGACTTGGCTCTGTCACCAGAACAAATGTGCCCCTGGAAGGAGTCAGGTCTGGGGTCTTTCCTCTGAACCCCGCCCCCCTAACTGAAACGACACTCCCCAGCAAAGGGTAGTACATATGGAGTGTTTTTATTGTCTTATAGCCAGGGTTTGGTCAGAGGGGGGGGGTATAGGTCAGAGGCCGGGGATTGTGCTGGGCAGAGGGACAAGGTGACACCTTCTCATGCACTTTCCTTCAACGGTGTAGCAGAGGGATGTGGGGAAGGACTCATGGGATGGACAATGAAAAACTGTCACAGTCTAGCCAAGGCACAGAGGGCCTTACCTCATGAAGCTGCTTCAATAGGCTGAGCAAAACAGCTCCTGACCCACAGCCCACCTCCAGAATGAGAGAGCCACCTTGGGTTCCAACCACATGGGGATGCTGGGCCACCTCCTCCAGCACTCATTCAACCAATTTCTGAGAGGGAGAAAGAGAGAAGGAGAGAGAGAGACAGAGAGACAGAGAGGGAGAGAGAGAGAGAGAGACAGAGGTCCAGAATTAAACTTAAGTGAGGGAAGTGGCGCTGTAGCTCAAGTGGTAGAGCGCTCGCCTTGAGCTGAAGAGCTGAGGGACAGCACCCAGGCCCAGAGTTCAAGCCCCACGACCGACAAAAAAAAAAAAACTTAAGTGAGGTGCCGGTGGCTCAGACCTATAGTCCTACCTACACAGGAGGCTGAGATGTGAAGATCGTGGTTCATAGCTGGTTCGGGAGGAATGTCTATGAGACTCTTATCCTCAAAGTATCAACAGAAAACCGGAAGTGATGCTGTGGTTCAAGGGGTAGAGTACTAGCCTTGTTCTTAGGAGCTCAGGGATAGCATCCAGGCACAGAATTCAACCCCATAAATGACAAGAAGTGGATTTCCCACCACAAGAAGTGGACTGAATAACACCCACTGTCCTAGGAAGCATGGCAGAGAAATCAGGACAAGATTCCTGTCAGCTAGAGATCATGAGGAGGTCAACTGGCTTCTCCATGACTCATTTTCCCCAGCTGGAAAAATGAATACAGTGAAGGATCCCTTCCTCATGGGGATAGGGTAATGATGAAAGAGAGCCATGTTTTGCTTCATAATCCCACACCTGTTGCATGATTAATAACAGACCCCATCTGAGCCCTTTCCCGGCAACTTCCTGCCATATGCTCACAGAAATGTTGAGAACTGTATCTGACACCTGCTCTCTCGGTGCCTTGCCCTGCTCCAGAAAGCCCTCTGCATTAGTCCCTTATTTACTCACAACTGTCCCATGAGGAGACTGAGGTCTGATGGTCGACATCCAACCCAGAACTTCACCTGTTGTCAAGAATTGGCTGCTGTGAACTAGGAGTTTGGGACAATCCATCTAAAATGATGACTGAGCAGGGCGCTAAATGTCTACCAACCCCCACCCCCCACACACACGCACACATACACACAAACACACTTCCACCGTCCTTTGCCGGCAAAGATGTTTTACTTTCTTTCTTTTTGTTAGTTGTGCGGCTTAAACTTTGGGCCTGAGTGCTATCCCTAAGCTCTTCAGCTCAAGTCCAGCACTCTACTACTTGAGCCACAGCACCGCTTCTGGTTTTCTGGTACTTCATTGGAGAGAAGATTCTGAGGGTCTTTCCTGTCCAAGCTGGGTTTTATCCGTGATCCTAAGATTCAGCTCCTGAGTACTTAGGATGACAGCCATGAGCCACTGGCACACGGCCAAAGATGCTTTTCTATGCCTGTCATCGTATCTCCTCAGCAAACTGAGATCTGAGGACTGCAGTTGCATGCCACCCTTGGCAGCAAAGTCATTCAGAACTCTTATCTCCAATTAAACACCCAAAACCGTTGCAAGTGGAGCTGTGGCTCAAATGATAGAGTGCTAGCTTTGAGCATGAAACAAGGGATGGGAAACAGGCCCTAGTGTTAAGATTTTTCTAGCATAGACCCACCCAACAAAAGGAAGCAGGTGAGCACACGGGAGCTCAAAGCGCACACGTAATACTCAAGACTCACAGAATAGACCCCATCCTGCTCTGATTCTCTAGATTCTATGTCCTAGATCATGTCAGGCTGAGATGGGACTGACCATGCACCAACTCAGGACATTCAAGTACAGTCTCATACTGAGGATCCCGTGACTTCATCAAGGACTCAAGATCTCTCACTGTCTTGCCTTGACACTGGGCAGTCAGGTGAGATCTAGTTATCCAAACAAAGGACATGGGAATGAATGAATTTCTCAGCCAAGGAATGCAGACTGAAGGGCTCTAGTTCCCTCTCTCTCAGGGAGGAGAAAAGGGCTGATCCATCTTAGGAATGTTCCTGGTTGTGAGTATCCTCAAAGAAACAACCCTGCTCCCAGCCCAGTGCCTCCTGTTTTCCCACGAGCCTCGACTTTCAGTCGGCCCCTCTCACATCTGCCATCTAGACTAAAGGCTGAGCCAGCAAAGAGACCCACCTCTGCCTCTGCGGATGGCAGTCATGGGGCCCTAGAGTCCCCTAGAGGAAGTCTGGGGGCAACACGGGTCTGACTCTCGCCCTCATTCCCTGGGTGTCCTGTTCCAAGTGGCACGCTTACCTCTGATTCTGGTCGAGGAATGAACACTGGGGCTGTCATCTTCAGATTGAGCCAGAAAAAGTCCCAGTCCCCAAGGATGTACTGCACAGGCATCCTGCAGTGGATGACAGCCAGATTGTCAATGGTGAACCCAGAATGCCAGGACTTTTAATAGCCATATGGCTGGGTTGAAGATTCTATCACTGATGGTCTAGATTGTCAGCTGAGGTCATGGCTCCAATGGCCTGACACACTGGATCTGGGATTGTACTCCCTCTTCATCTTCCTGTTTATCCCTTGACACACCCCAACCCCCCCTCCCCATCTTGTCACTCCCTCACACTATACCTCCCTAGCCCTTGGACAGTTTCTTCTTATCTCTCCAGAAAATAAATTCGGTGAGCCAGGGGAGATTGAAACTCTGTGACCCACCCTGAGCCCTAGGGTCTACCCGAGGCTGTTTCCCTCTGCAGTCACTAACCACTCAGATTTGTATGTCTTGAAGTTGCTGATGTCATGAATGGGTCAGTGACTGGGTCCTACACAAGAGCTTTAGGCTCTGAAACTGTCCCCAAAGAGATTGTGAGTGGTTGGCTCCCTTGATCCAGGGCCTCCAAACCAAGGCTTGCATGCTCCCTTCTTCCTTCCTTTCCTCCATTTCTCCCTCCATCCTTCCCTCCTCTCTTTCTCTTTCCTTTCTTTGTGTCACTCCTGGGCATGAACTCAGAGCCTGGGTGCTGTCTCTGAGCCTTTTTACTCAAGGCCAACAGTCTACAGCTTGAGCTACTCATCCACTTCTGACATTTTCTTTTTGGTAGTCAGTTGGAGATAAGAGTCTTACAGGCTTTTCTGCCAGGGCCTTAAGCCTCAATCCTCCTATCTCAGCCTCCTAAGTAGCTAGGATGATAGGTGTGAGGCACCGGCATCCAGCTCAAACCAAGATTTTTTCATGTGCTGTGGAATCAGCACTGGAACCTTTCATTGTGTATGACCCTCAGTCTCTCCCTGCCAGGAACTGGCACACACTGTAACGTTTTGTTAGATAAATAGATGAACATCTGTCTATGACAATACTACAGAAAAGTCCCATCCAACTCAGGTAAGCATCCTGGGTGGGGGTAAATCCTGATGTAGCTCTAGCACAGTTCTCCCTCCTCCCTCTTCCCACCCTCCTGGTGCCACCACACTTAACTGTTTTGGTTCCAAGGACGTGAGCCATGATGTACTCACTGTATTCTGGGGCCTCTGGGATGCCTATCTTCTCAAAGATCTCTGTCCAGCCACTGACCAGCTGTATGGCACTCAATTCCCCACTCAGCTGTGAACAAGGTTGTTGTGAGGCGAAAGCCTGGTTCAAGGGGCCTCTTCTCACTCCCTAGGGCCAGAGAGGATGGTCCACCATATCTGGCCCCCAATTTTCATGGTGCAGAAAAGGATCCCTGAGGCATCCAGGGTCTCTGAATCTCCCAGAGTCCAGTACAGGTCCTAAGAATTGTCTCTGCTCACAGTGATCAGGCTGCAGATGGCAAGGTCACAATCTCTGCTCCCCACAACATCCTCAACTGTAGTGATCACCCTAGAGAGAGCCAGAGGAGAATTGGCAGCTGCCGGAGAAAGGCAGTCAAGGCACGATGTTCATAGCAAGAGACTGTTTGCCTCAGGAACTGTGCCTGTGCTGCTTGAATGTCATTGTTTGGTGGCTGAAATGGTCCATCTCTTTTGACCCATAATCCCAAGCATTAGTAGAAATTGCCAGCTTCAAGGAAAAAACCCTGGAAAAGCTGGCATTTCAACTTGTCCAAATCAAACTTACAGGGTTCCAAAGTCAGTGGTTCCCTTTTCCTTCCAGACAGCCTACAGCAGGTTACAGAAAATGGCATTCAGAGAGCCCTAGATAACTGCCATGTCCTGATCCCAAGTAGGCTCCAGCAGGGGGAACACACTTGCCTACCATTGCCCAGCTGGAAATAGCCCAGGAGGGACACAGATTGGATTCTGCAGGACTCCCGGGAGGACTACCCACCAGTGCACTGCCCCTAGAGGGAATCCACACCACCACTGGGGGCCTGGAGCCCACTGCCCAGATGCCCACTTACACCGTCAATACCTTGGGTAAGATTCCCCTCTCATCCTCAGTCATGGTGAACCATCTGCTATGTCACACCGTTCGTCACTTCCCAGACCCTCCTAGATTCACAGACCCTGCCCTACTACCTCCCATCTTGTTCTCTATTTATGTTTGGCAGATTCATTCCCAATCTTGAATTAGCTCCAACTATACATACCAGAGCAGACTGTCTGGCTGGAAGAGTGCGGCTGTGATCAAAGTAGCCTCATGAGCCTTCTGGCTAAAGACAGAAGGGCAGGTGTCCACTCTGGTCTGCGGTTCACACAGGACTCCTAGGGGAAACCCACGCAGGTCCAGCAGCTACTGTGGGCTGCAGGAAAGGGGAAGAAAGAGGTGGAAAAGAACATCTACTGAAACCTTCCCTAAAGGAGCCATGAAACTGTGAAAGAGAAAACAAAAATTATGGCTGGGCTCATACTGGGCATTAATTGAAAAAGAATAACAAATACAAACATACACACAAATAAAATGCTTTTGCTCTTTTTAGACAGGGTGACTATACAATGAGAAAGATGATCTCTCTCTCTCTCTCTCTCGCACATACACACAGATTCAGAGCAGTGTCTCTCCTGAGTTTGTTGGTTTCTCATCTGGGCAATGTACTAGCTGGAGCACAGGGGTTCCCTTGTAAGAACCAGGGGATCTCACCCAAGGGGAGTAATGCTCTAATAATGCAGAACCACCCTGACTCTCCCTTTCTCCAAGGCCAGACCCTTCCCATTGGGAACAACCAGCCTTGACTCCCCATTCACCAAAACCCTAGGCCAAGACGCTGGGTGAAGGAGTCTTGAGAAACGTGACTTCTCAGAACCTGGACAGAAAACAAAGCAGATGCCTCCAGAAAGGTGTCTGACCTGGGGTGGGCGTGTTGTTGGGGACTTTGATGGGGATCTAAATGCTATATACATGGTTGTACTCCCTACTTCCCTCCTACATACTTCTGGGCAACTTGGCAAATTTTTGGGGAGGACTAGGAGACCAGATGGGCTGGTAGCACAAGCAGAAGCTGGCAGAGCTGGAAAATGTGATCACCCAGTCAGAACTATTATTGACAGCTGGGGTTGGGGGTACAGACAGGGCATGTGTGTGTCAGAGGGAGTGTTTTTTTCTCCCAAATACCCACCTTCTATCTGACCCCAGTGCCCTCACCTCTCTAGTGGGCTCTTCTGGGAATGTCCTCATGTGAAAGGGTGACTGAGCACGGAAGACAAGGGCTCACACAACAACGTGGTCTATCTTCTGCATCCAACATCCCCCTCCTCATCAAAAGGGAAAAGAACCAAGAGGTGCAGCTTCCCACCTCTGACTAAAGCCACCAGGTTTCCACCAGGGAGAGGAAGGGTGCAGATGCACAGCTGTGTGTCTCTCACTGCTCCAGGCCAGGGGCTCTGTGGTTCCCCCACCTCCCCATCCTGCAGCTCCCCTTTTCCTGGAACACTGGGATCCCCAGGTGGACACCCACATCCACCCCCCACCCCTGAGGTGCATTTGTGGCAGAGCCATGACAGACTGTGGGGCACGGGGGAGGCGCAGGCAGTGCAGGAGGGGGAGGCAAGAGGCAAGGTTCCGGGTCCGCGAGGGTGGGGAGGAAGGATAGAGTGGGGGACGGGGTTTATAGGGGGTTGTGAGGTGCAGGAGCTCAGGTCGGCCACTCACGTGTGCTGCTGGAAGAAGTTGTAGGCTGCGACTCCGGGTGGCGCCAGGAGTCTGAGGACCGAGTGCCAGAACCAAGTCAGGGCCACAAGCAGGCCAGGGGTGCAACATCTCCACCAGGTGACTGCTAGAGGCTCCGCGGGTCTGAGCCAGCAGCGCCATGTTTGAAACGTGGAGCTGCGCACAGCCTCTGCTCCTCCTCAGCCACCACCACAGCCTCAGCAGCCTCCTATCCTGTGGCCACCGCTTCTTCAGCAGCCACTGCCTCTGCCGTGCTCCTTGTACCGGGACCTCAGACTCGGGGCCACCATGGCTGGGCGCCTCCGAGGGGCTGCGTGTGGCGATGTGCCTGCCGGGCAGGCTCCGCATGCTCTGTGCTCCTGGCCAGGACCCACACTATGATCAGAGCAGCCGCCAGCCACTGAAGCCGTTTCCATGGGTGCTAGTGCTCGTGTTAGTGCTGGAGCTCACTCTTCTCCCAGCTCTCACTCGGCCCCACACTCCTCTCCTGGGCCACACATCCTGCTGCACACACACCTGGCCTCCAGGGCTCCTGGCCATTGCTGCCACCAAAGTGTGCTCCTGGTCCCCGCCCCCTCCTCCCCTGGGCCACGCCCCCCACCCCTGGCCACAATTGCAGCCCTGACTGGGCCCTGAGGCTTCTAGACCATGGCAATTGCAGCCCTACCTCAGCTCAGCAATACACCCCACCCCCAGTATCGGCCCAGGGGATCGAATCTCCCCTCAGCCCCACCACTGGAGGAGACTCTCCTCTATCCCCCTCCACTCCACACACTAAGCAGGTGCATGGTGACACTCCTGTGTGTATGTGGGTTTGTGTTTGTGTCTGTGTGATTGTTGGGGATAACCACCTCTCAAGGACTCAGAACATAGCACCCTTTGGGATGACTGCGCACACAGCACACTTCCAAAATCAGCACAAAGCACCCTGTGTAAATGACTCAGCACACAGCTCCCTTTGAAGGACTCAGCATGTAATATGCTGAGTACTCTATCCAGCACCCTTTGAAGGAGGGAGTCTATAGCCCACAGTGTAAAGGACTCAGTGAATGGCACGCTTTGAAACACTCAGCACATAGCACTCTTTCCCAGGGACTCATCACAATCTGTGTTGAACCACGCTGTATAAAACACCCAGTGCACAGCTTCCTTCGATAAACTCAGCACACAGAACAATTTTGAAGGACTCAGCACATACCACACTGTGGAAGCTCTCAGCACACAGCATCATTTGAAGGACATTAGGGAGCACCCTAAGGAAAGGACTTGGCACACAGCACTCAAAATACGCCTCATCCCTCTCTTCCCAATGGCTCACACATAGCAGGACCCTTTAGGATGCATTAGCACACCACAACTTTTAAAGGACTCAGCATACAATACTTTGTGCAATGGACTCAGCACAAAGCCCCCTTTAAAAAACCAGGATGGCAAACTCTTCTCAGGGACTCAGCACATAGCACCCTTTGGGATGACTCAGCAAACAGCACCTTTTGGAGGACTCAGCACATAACTCCCATGAGGGAAGGACCCAGTAAATAGCGCCCTGTGAAGGACTCAGCACATAGCTGTATGTTACAAGTTCAGCTGTCATTAGAATTAGGGTGCTTTCTTCAGTATCACCATTCTTCAGAAACACTTCACAAATCCTACTAGTTCACATTTAGACAAGCTGTGTTTTATGGGGGAAGTCAGCTGGGGGTCTTGAACTCAAAGCTTGGGGCCCTGTCCCTGAGCTCTTTGGTTCAATGCTAGAGCTCTACCACTTGGAGGCACAGAACCAGTTTTATTTTTTGAGGTTGTTCTTTGACAGGTCTTATGGTGATAAGTAAGGCCAAGTAGGGGTATCCGTGGGCAAAGGCTCTTAGCTCAGCCTGGAGCTGACCTCTCCCTTCCCTGTGTCCCTGGAAAGCTGGGCCTCCTGGAGCTCTCTTGGCCTAGGGTGGAACAGACCTGCTCTGGCATCAGCAAACAGGGTGAGCAAAAGTCAGCTTGGCCCTAGTAACTTGCCAAAATTGAACTCTAGTGGATAATGGCATTAGACTGCATGTTCCGCATGTGCCCACCAGGGGGCAGGAGTGGCCCACAATAGGGATTGTACTTGCGAGTTGTGTTTACTCTTGCTTCCCTGGGGCCCCCACCATGCTTCAAAGCCACCCTGGAGAGGAAAGTCCTTGAGACACTTACTTACAATTAACCATCGAAAAGCAAGTGGGGCTGTGGATCAAGTGGCACAGCATTAGTTTTGAGCAAGAAAACTCAGCAATAGAGCTTAGGCCCTGAGTACAAACACTCACACACACACACATACACACACACACAAACACTGCAGTCTTTGGGTATTCTCTACTTTTTCCCTCACTAAGCCTGGTGGCTGCTGGCCCAGGTGTTTGGTGCAAACAACATCACCTGGCATCTTCAATTTTGGGGGAACAGAATGGCTAGAAGGTCAACCTTCCCCCATCCCAGCTCCTTAATTGGGTCATGGTCTATCCAGGCCCTTTGGAGCTCCTTTACAGACTCGCCAAGATGCCTTCAAAAGGCATCACATACTGGGCACTGGTGGCTCATGCCTGTCATCCAAGCTACTCAGGAAGCTGAGATCTGGAGGATCATGGTGCCAAGCCAGTCTGGGCAGGAAAGTGTGTGAGACTCTTAGCCTCCATGAAACGTCAGAAAACAAAAGTGGCATTGTGGCTCAAGTGGTAGAGTGCCAGCTTTGAGAAAAAGAGCTCAGGGACAGCGCTCATGGCCAACAACAACACAGAGAGGCATTGCATGATGTCTTTGGGATTGGCATGGGCCAAATATAATTGGAATTAATTATAA